GTCAGTGAGGCCCGGGTGAGTGTTGCAGCCTCTCCTTTTCCAGGGTCTGGAATAACATGATGGGCCAGTGTCTGGAATAACATGATGGGCCAGTGTCTGGGAGTGCGTGTTGTCGGTGGTGTCCAGTGGGAAGGTTGGTTGGGGATCTGAGCCTATTTCACCTTCCTCCTGTGCAAATAGGCTACATTTTGCTTATGTTCTTCCTGATGTGAGACAATGCGGTGATGAGCTTCCTCGTTTATTCTTGTGTTTTCTTTGATGTATATGTTTGGCTTTGCCTCATTAGTTTCTGAGTATGTAGGAGGTAAATAAACTCTTTATTTGTCTTGGCCTTTTAAGTGGGCCCTCAAATAATACAGACTGTGCTGGTATCTTCTCAGAGGCAACTTCAGGTGCCTGCCAGCAACTTGTCTTTCAGAAAATATAGTGGATTTTGTATAGCTGCTCTTAAGAGAGGACTGTTGGGAACAGTGCAGGACAGATTGTTCTCCTACTCAGATAAGTTTACACTTAAATAACGTTGCTTTATTTAAATCTGTGGATTGTCTTGCTTTCCTCATTTCTTAGTAGAGGGTGGCCAGTGCAGGAGCCTTTGCGCCCTGACAAGCTTGAGATGTGCCCAACAATGTGGTGCTGGTGTGTCTCTACAGGATGTGCTGGGATTCAACATGGCAGGGCTCCAGTACCTGAAGAGGGAGATTGAGGCCAAGGATGAGGTGACATTTTTTGCTGATGCTACCGATCGCTTTGAGGAGAAGAGGAGGAAGAGGAAGAAGAAAGAGAAGATGGTTCTTGCAGTGCTCTAGCATTTGCTGCCCAAGACGCAGAGCACCTGGGTGGGGTCATGTAACCTCAGTGTTGGCCATGGAAGTGTTCCTGTGGCTGAACATCTGTGATGATGTCTGGTGACTGGGACAGAGTTTGTCCCCTCCTCATGTAGTACAACCCAGCATATAACCCCAACTCAGAATGGTTGTCTGTGAGATGAACTCTCTGTATTCTGCTGCAAATGCATGCATTTGAACTATTTCTGAGGTGGCTGTCAAAGGTACGTGCTTTTCCTGTAGTGGAATGCACGTTACAAACGTAGTTGATCTCTTCTGTGGAAGAGATCAGCTCATTCTGGCAGTGTTGACTCAGTGGAGTGAGTCCAGCAGCACATGGACTGCTGGTGAGACCATGTCCTAGCCAGGGAAAGCAGCTGGCAAGATTTATGCTGTTTTGACACCTGCTGGTAGTTTGTGGCAGTGCTTAGAGCCTCTGGACAAAGCTGTTTGACTTCTGCCAAGGTGTGAGAACTTGGTCTACATCCACTCACTTTTTAGTGGGCAGAGAAAAACATGGCTGTGCTCTATTAAAGGCATGTTTATATATGCTTTATGAGACAACTTGGTTCATGGAGTTTTGTCTGATATTTCTCTAGTAAAGCCTCAACTGCCTTGCCCTGTGTGTCAGTTCACAAAGGACTTTTTTCCAGAGAATAAAACCTGTGGGAGCAAATGAAAGGGCTGCCATCCAGGATTGTGCTATTCCGTAGAGTTGGCAGACTGAGCATCAGAAGCATGGGTTGTTTGCATTGTACTTGCTCCAGATTTAGAAATTGCACTGAGTTGTTGCAATGTTGTACTTGTCCTGTATCAGATAAAATTATTTATTTTCACAGTGGGGGGAGTGGGGCAGGTTACAGTAAGCAAGTCTCTGCTGCTGTTGAGAAGTTACTAGTTTGTAACATGCTGTCTTTTTTACCAGTGATCACAGGTTTGGTGGATGTGGTGGGGGCTGCTTCTGGGTACAGGGCCAACTTAACATGTGTATGGTTAGAATATGTGCCTCACTTAACTGTGGATGAGAGAGTCCAGAACTGGCATTCATATTTCATACTGGTGAAAGCTATTATCTAATCCCTAATCATGGGATTCTCAGTCACTGTCAAGTGTTGAGAGAACAAGTCATCTGCATGTGTCAAGGAAAATTCCCCATCTCTCAGGCTGTCACATGCTGGAAAAAGGATGAAGCACAGGAACGCACCTTGTTGGAAATGAATTCATAAAAAGAAAGCAGAAGTGCACTTGCATATACAAATATGGTGTCTCACAAAGAGACTGAGATGTTTCTTTTAGTCACTACTGCGTAAGTAGGAACAAAGGGGGGGGAAAAGGCCCATGTGTAAGTGGCTCAGTCTACCACTATGAAGAGAGGTGTGCAGGTGCGCATTTGAAGATGATCACGTCCAACAGTGAACAACAGGATATAAACAGAATCCCTCTCTGTCAAGTGTAACTTTGTGCACTTGTAATTCCCATCTGGTGTCTTAGGCTAATTAAAGGTAGGCGAACACACAGACAGTTAAGCCTATGATTGTGAAAGCAAACAGAAACTTAGGAATTAGAAGACCAGAGCAGATCAGCAGCTCTTTCTTGAAGAATGAGTTGACTTCAGTGAAACCTGCTGCGTGCTCAGTACCTAAAAAGGATTTCAGGTGTCTCAGCACAGGTTATAGGGAACCATTGGGAACCATTCAGCACTCTTCTAAGTGCAGAGTGTCAAACATTGGGGTCAAAACACAGTAATCTTTCCACTGTTTGCATTTCAGACAGCCACCTGAGAAGGCTGCGCAACTTTTGGACCACCTTTCCCATTAACAGGGGACAGCCAAAATATTTATTCATGTTAATCTGATTAAATAAATGAAAAAGTCTCAACTGGGATGTTTCCGTAACGTTGGACTAAAATTGGGGTATTTCAGTATTGCTGATCTTCCTGTTAATCTTGTTAGGGCTCTGATCTGTAGTAAAAGAGGAAAGAAAATTAACATGAAAGAAAAAAAAAAACCAAAACCCCAACTCTACCTTTGTACGGTTGTTGAAGCAAACCACGTAATTACGTGCAGATTCTTTGGAAGTGCAGTGCGAGCAGTGTGATTGCTACAGACTGGCTTCAGTAGAACTGGCCTCTCGTTGCTGTTTGGAAGGGAACAACATGAGAAAGGGTACTCACATGGGCTTCAACTAGATTAAGAGTTTGCTTTCATTCCACAAATTGAGTGGCATAAGAATCATGACCACGAGTTCAGGATGGGCAGTCTGCTTGGGGATACTGAAGGCTTTCATGAGCGGCTTCCAATGCAGTATTTAATTTTGAGTATATAAAGAGGATCTTTGTGAAATGTTTTAAATATAAATAAGAAATAACTAAGAAAATATAACAGATATGACTATGTTTGGCCAGGCTATGCTTCATCTGTGATTTTTGCTTGTTGGTCTCTACTAGGAGGTGTGGCAAATTTGTCATCAAGTCCAATATTGCAGGGAAGTTTCTAGGTCTCAATGGAGAGAATCATTGTCCCTGGTGATAAACACCTGGGAAAGGTGATAGGAACTTAAGTTGTGACAGTGCCTTTGCAAAGGCTCAACTGTTTGTTACGCATGGTTGAACAAGACTATTTAACTAAATACAGGACTTAACCTAGGAGCGTCAGTGTTTCTTATTTTGTGAGACTGAACTAATCAGTCCAGAGTTCCTTGGCATGTTTGAGATTGATACAGTTTTGCATCCAGGAGATTTTTGGTGGGAGGAATATTTGGGGGGGCATTTGGTACGGTTGCTTGGGTAGCATGGGGTAACTTCAGTAGGCATTATTAATCAATTCACAAAAAGACTTTGTCAGAACAGAAGGGAGATTCATCTATGGTGATGGCAACTAGGATTAGCTGGATTAGCCATGTGGGAGGAGAATACTATGTAGTCAATTTCGCTCCACTTAGAGCTTTTAAAGGGCGACGACACTGATCAGAATTTCTGTTGGGACTTTTGGGACAGTGTGTCTCACTGAAATGTGAACTGACTGGGTGAGTACTCCTCTTCCGTTCCAACCCGAAGTGAGATTCATTGGTCTAGATTGCCTTCCCTGATGAGCTCCAGGTTGTAAGCCCCTAAGCTGGAAGGCATTAAATTTGCTGTTCTTCTAGACTATAATTGCATGTTAGCCTGGGGGTAAAATCCCACACTGGAAAAGGGGAGAAGATGTTTAAACCGGAAGAAAAAGCTATGTTTGATGTAATGTGTGCAGTCCTAGAGCAGATGCAGCAGTCAGAGATGCATGTCTCTCTGAAGTTTCTTTTGAGAACTGACTGATGTGGTAGCTTTGCTTTTTCTCCAGAGGACAGGAAATGAGATGCAGCTGGGATACTGACCTGTTAGATAGCGTAGCAGACTTACAGATGTTAAAGTTGAAAGAAACAGATTATGTCAGTGTTACACATATGAGGCAAATCGGGACTCTTGAGCTGAGAAGAGACAACCATAGGGTTCCTGTTCATGAACTGTCATCATGTATTGTAGAGGGCCCGAGCTGATATAGGCAAGATGAAACCAGCCTAATGTTAAACTTTGGCTAGTGGTTTGAGGAGAAATTCCCAGTAAAGCTTTCTTCTTGTCAGGGAAGACTTATCCATTCTCTATATAGTCTGATTCTCTAAGGTTACAGAAATGTGCTGTATGAAACAATGCGTGCAGAGGATTAGTCTGCTTGAACACGTCATGGTAAGTTTGTCCTGTCTATCTGTAAGGCTCCTGTCCCTTGATCTCAGTCTCAAAGGGTCAGCAGCAAGACTTGGTTTTAGAAAATGAAGAGTGTTAAAGAGCAGCTGATATGTTAGGGCTTAACTGCTGCCTCCTGCTGCCAGGAGGCTCAATGACTTGTTTAATGTGGAAACAGTTCAGTGAAGGATTTGGGAGAGGACTGGAGAGGCTCTGCTGTGAGTGCCTCCACTGAGCTGAGCAGTTGTAGTAATCTGTAAATCTCTTGCAGCGAGTCGTTTGGTTAATGTCATCCAGTGCTTCCCTTTTCTTATCTCAGGTTGTCAGGACTGTGTGATGTGTGCATGACAGCTTTGCTGTCAGTTGCATGAGGCTTGTTGCTGATGTGGATCAAAAGCCAAGAGGGGATAAAACAACTGTTCTCTGATTTAAGGCTGGTATCACTGCATCCAGTACTTACATTAACTTGAAAGCTTTCGGGGTAGTGCAATCCGGAACCATGGCTTGGGGCTTGTAGGAACTGCCCGGACTGTTGCTGACATCCCACCCTGGGGGTATCCTTGTGGGCGGCACTCATAAACATCATTGGTTAACACAGGTGGAATATCACGTTAAGGATCTAACCATATCTGTACATTTACGTAACTAAAATGTGTGGAGGCTGGAATGAATTCTGGAAATAAGGCTGTGAAACAACTTGAATCTGGACTACAGCCCTCAGCTGAGATATTAAAGACCAGGTAAAATACTGGGGAAGGGCACATGTTTTGGAGGCTGGTCTGCAACTGAATGTCCGAGTACTGAGTGAGTGGGAACAGAGCAGGAGCTGGTTTTGCTGCAATGCCACCAGTCCTGTCTAGCTCAGCTCTGCAATAATGGACATGAAAGACTTCTTTGGGTCACTATCAAGTAAATTTGGGGAGTTTCAATGTCACTTCTAGAGCCTATAAAGCCTCAATGGAGTTGCAGTTACCTAGTACTCTGGTCAGTCTCAGAGGACCCTGAAGTTTTCCTTTCTTTCTTAAGGGTAGCCTTTAGCAGGAGTGGAGTTTGTGGCATGTTTGGATGCACCTTACCTTGCTATTTCTTTTATAGCTTTCCAGAAGACCTCTTCTCTCTGGCTTTTAAGTGTAAATTTGATTAAAATTCAAACAGGACTTCACCCTTTCTTCTGAACTTGCACTTAAAAAATGAGCCTGTAATTTTATTTTAAAAATAATTAGTTTCTGGGGCACAAGGGAAAATAGTTCTTGATTTTGCTGTTTTCTTTTACTCTACCTCTGTCTTCAATTAAACAACTGAAAAGCCCACCGAACCCACACCGGGCTGATTTCTGACAGCCTTCGTGCACTTCTGTGCTTGTGTCTCTGCTGACACAGGGATTTGTCTCATTTGTCTGTTTAGTATCCAGGACGATACATGGTTTTGTTGCTCATTAGGCTGTACCATCAGATGCTGCCATTGGTTCAAAAATGTTATGCAGGATTTCCATCGGGGGTGGTGGAAAAGAGTTCCTGTTATTGTCATTATTTTTTAAAAGCCACATCTTTCTTCCTTTCCCCAATTTTCAAAACCTTGTTACTCTGATGTAAATTGCTTTTGGTGTTAGAATCTTAAATTGTTCAGTTGTTGTGCTTTTTGAAAACACCCATTTGTGTGTTTCTGAAAAGGACAGTTCCAGCCTGCTACTGGAAACGATGCTTAAGGCTTCTGACAGGTGGACTGTCCCCAGGGGGTTGATGCTAGAAGGTGTGTGTGCGAGGTAAGACAACAAAGGATATTTGCTCTCACAGGCAGGAGAAGAGTTTCTGTTTCTGTTAATATTTCAATATCATGGGAAACTTCTTCAAGGCCACCGGTATCTTCCCCTTTAGTTACCATGGCAAAAATCTCTATCTCCAGTTCAATCTGCAAGCCTGCTGCCACCTAGGAGAGACAGAAGATTACTCACAGGTAAGGTGTATGTTTCATACATAGTCCCCTCCAGCAGTCCTTGGAGCTGGTTCTTGTTCTGTGTTGTCTGATGAAATGAAAGATGTAGTGCCCAGCATACATGGTTGTGCTTGCCAGTTTCCAGGTGTCTGTTTCAATAGAAAGGTCTGTACAAAACAGTGTCTCTTTGCATTGCAGTTTGAAAGAAAACTGCCACGTGTTTGCATTTTTTCCCCTTAAATTTCCTTTTAGGCTCCAGGGGGAAAAAGGCAATCGAGACAGCTGGGAGAGAATCAAAAAGAGAGGTGGTTGGTGCCCCATGCCTGTCAGTGTTTGGACAATTTGGACAATGCCCTTAATGACATGCTTTAACTTTTGGTCAGTCCTGAAGTTGTCAGGCAGTTGGACTAGACGAACATTGTAGGTTCCCTGTGTAGTGCCTTGTGGCACTGTCTCCTTGCACAGGTCATTGCTTCTTGATTCCATGTCTATAAAAGTATTGGTAAGGATATTGCCTTCTGTTTTCTGGATGCTGTGGGGATACTGGCCAGCACAATATATATTAAGATACAACATGCAGGTGAAGAGAGAGACTGAACAAAAGCTGCTAAAGCTTCCTACTTAATGGGACAATTTCACGTGCTATGGTGCTTTGCTAGATAAAACACTTAAGGTGAAGAATAGTTCCAAGCAGGAGAAGAAATGATTGAGGCAAGAGTTTATTAGGTTTGACTCCTGAAAGTATCAGGACAGGAGTTAAAGTCTAGGCATAAGACAGAACAGGTAACAAGTACCCTAAACGATGGGGAAAACTCGGAGGTAGTGGCAAAGTATCCAGTTTGATTCAAAAAAGCTCTCTACCTCAGTGCTTGACCTGCTGCTTTCCACTCTACTTAACATGTTTATCCCTCTGCATTTTGGTGCAGACTCTGAAACTTGAAGCGCATGTGGTGCTTGGTTGAAGGCAGCAGAGGGACAGCGGAAGGCAGCATCCCTTCAAATAACTTTAAATCATGTACCCTACCAGCTCTATTCTCAGACATCTAGTGTGAGAGGACGCCTAGATGCTCTGAGGGCCATCTGAGTCTAGCAAAACACAAAAGATCATCTGTGTAACCTACAGGTCCTGGTGTGTACATGACTCTCAGTCCTGTAGGTGGAGGCGGTTGCTTCACCCGAAACCTGTCAGAAAGAGAAGAGAATCAGTTTGTCAGAAACTGTTTCAGGCAGGCAGAAGCACTGCTGAGAAGGAGACCGTCTGCTCTTCCTCTGCGTGTGCAAACAACAGCAGAAGTTGTTAGCTCATCCTTCCTGTCACAATGTATGACTTGGGCTACAGCGGTATTCCTGAGCTTCTCACCAAGGCTTGGGTTTCTAATGAAAAAACCCACAGAAAGAGATTATGGGCCAAAGTAAGTCTCCAAATAGCTCGTTGCACTGCCTGGTTCTTGCAACAGAATGCAAAACATCAGCATTCTAAGCCTGCATACACAAAGGAAGCTGAAGTATAAATTACATCTCTGCAAACACCCGTGTGTTGCATACCTGGTATGTTGCATACCCGGTATGGTGCATACCCAGAAGTCCTTATTGTTCTTTATTTCATGTCCTTTGATATGATTCTATTGCAGAAGCCATGATACTAGTATAAATTTTGTGAAAATAATCTAATTTCACAGTACCCACTAAGGCAGTAGTTTCAGTTCTGCATTTCTCACTGACTGTTTCACATCTATGCAGTCCTTTTGCATAACCAACTTCCACTGTTAAGATCTCTAAAGATCATTAGAGCTGATATGACCTCTACTTTTGCATGGCTCTGGATTTTATCCTGAGGTTTTCATTTTTACCTAAAGAACAGTTACCAGCAGGCACTTGCACCAGAAGCTGCTAAAGGGAAGGCAGTAGACGAGGCATTCCTAGTATATGGCTCCATCTTATAGAAAGCTCTGGCAGACTTACAAACTGGCTGTCAGAATTCCTGCTCTTTCTCTGAAGTGCTGGCTGTTACGAGAAACTGGACTTGATTTTTGTCAGGATGTCCCAACAAGTTCAGGCTATGGTATGGACAGTTTGGAAGGCATATAGTTAACTACTGATCCTGTCACAGAAAAGTTTTGGCTTCAGCATGAGGCAGATATGGCTCAGAATTGCCCAGCGTTGGCCCTACCCCTGCCCTCAGTATGTTTTGCTGTCATTCAGCAGCTAGTCGCTTATGTCTCCTCTCAAAGCATCAAGTAAAAGGCTTAAAATACAAGCTGGATTTATCAGAATCATGGTGGTATTTTCCTTGAATGTCTACATAGAGTGCCCTGTCATGAAATAAAAAGAAGTAATGTGCACACCTTGAGCTCTAGGATGTTGGTATGGGATCTGCTGATTTATCATGGCATGCACCATGAAGCTTAAATGTGCATTAAAGGAAAAAATGTCTCTGAGGCCCTATCTATCTAGGCTGACCTAAAAAAAACCACAAAACAAAAACCTCTGCCATCCATCCTGATAGAAGAAGCTGTACAATAGTCTCTCAGCTGGTCTTGAACAGATTTCTAAAGTGCCTAGTTGGCTGAATGCTCACAAGAGATCATGATGGTCACATCAGGGTGAAAGTGTCCTGTGAGCTCCTCTTTTGATGACAATTAGCTACCCGAGGAGAAGGAACAACAAATGTCAGACATAAATGTTTATGATTATTTAATTCCAGCACTCTAGTACCATAGTAAAGGGATGCTGCGACTGCTGAGATAGATAGTGTCACTGTGACACCTCTCTTGACTCTCCTTTTAAGGAGAACATCAAACTGTAAGTCACCTGCATCCACAAAAAGGAAGTTTGACAGATGCTTGCTCATGTGAAGAGTGTTCCAAAGAAACAGCATCCAGAAGCTGCAGGACACCAGGGCCATGAGACATGCACACTCAAGCCCAAGAACATTTAATGCCCTCCTTACTGTTTTCCTTTAATCAGTGCTATTATTGCAGACAAAACCAAAGACTATTTATTGCCAGTGCTAAGAGGAACCAGCTTTTGAATGACCTAGACCAACATGTCAGTAGAATGTTTATTTCCATGCTTTCAGTTAGCATCCCTCTCCTGGGACCTGTGGGTCCAGCAGAAAAAAGACCCACATAACAGGAGTGGTCCAAGTTGGCTTACTCTTAAGTTTCTGAAAGAACAGTATATAACTGCCGAGTAGGACAAATGGATGAGATTGGCCTAAATAGCAGCTTTCAGTTAAATGCTAAATAAATCAAGAACCTCTCCAGCTGCAGGAGGTAATAAGGATAGGTGGGAGGAAGAGGAGGACATTGGAAAAGGTTTGGTAGGAATAGCTATCTCGGAACACAGGAATTTTAAAAGCTTAGTTTTGGTTTTGGGGATTTTAAGCCATCTGAAATGAAAGCTCCCCACCAAGTACTGCAATTCTTGAAACCATCTAGTGGGATTATAACCATTCAAATGTAGCTATTCTGAAGTGACAAACCTTATGTGGAAGCCCAGGAGCTATAAGGGCTTAGAAACTGTTGTTGCAGGCTCTCCTTTACCCTAAAAAGCAAGGAACACATAGCACAGCTAAGGCAAGTGCAGTTGAGCAAACTGAGCGGGAGGAATAGGCTTTGCCCTCTTTTCTGTCACAAGTGTATGGCACCTGGGAGGACAGGGGTCATGAGCACACCTGCCTGAAGACCATTAAAGTAAAACCACTGGAACTGTTCTGGTGCAGGAGTGACTGAATGAACATGTGTGCAGTCACTCAAAGGGGAATTCTAGTACAGAAAAGCAATCACAAGCATTTTCTTACTGTATTTATATATTCTTTAAACAGCAACTGGGTAAATATGATAATTTGCTATGATTTGTCATGCTGGACTGCAGACCTAGAAATGGACTCATTTATCCCCACCCCAGTGAAACACAGTGCAGTGCTATTTTGTCCCACACACTGACGGGTGACACTGAGCAAGGGAAATGTGTGCACAAATAAATGCTTTCTTTCATCCTTGTCCTCTGCTTGTTCCCAGTGTCATGACTGGAGCTGTTTCTCAATGCAGCTGAAGACATGTCTGCCTGAATACAGCTGTGTGGAGTGTCTGATGGCATCCAGCAACATTTCCCAAAGCCAAATGTAATACTGGTTACCGTGAAAGACTTCGGTCCCTGAACCTGAGAACTTCAATAAGAACCAGTAAATCACCTGCGATGGGCCAGGACTATGCATGCAGGACCTGCTGTTCCTTACTGCTTTCCATCTTCCTAATAACACTAATATGCAAATAATGCTGAAGTATTTCCAGTCTTATCTCCTGTCCTCTATCCAGTCAGTCATTATCAAATGTTTCCAAGTATAAAAATACCATTTGTTATGTCATGTTAATCAGATCAAAAGGTTGACAATTAACAAGCAATGCATATTCCGACAGTTAAAAACCAAGGTACTAAAAATTCAAACTAACCTTGAGAAGTTCACACCAACATTCTTCAGGATCACAGTGGCTGCATAGGTGCAGCCTTCCTTTAGCACTCCAAATGTCACTCTGGGTGGAATGAGATGGAAGCCACTAAGAGGCTGTCTTGTTGTTGCAAGAGAAGATGTGTTGACCTTTCCTGCAACAGGATCTTCTATCTTTGCAAACAGAATTAAAATATTAGACAATAAAGAAAGTTGGTCGCCATCAAGTTAGGTTCAGTTACTTAACCTACATTTGAGCTCTGTCCATTCACCCTGAAGAATTACAAAAAGCCATCCTAATCTGAGTAAAAACTGAAGAGGCACTTTGAATATTGTCCGCAAATTTATATTGGTTTGAGTTTTCAGACATATTAAGCCATTGAGATGTCTCAGGGGGAACAGAGGAAGCTCTGCTCTTTCGGAAATCAGAGCTTTCATGTGGGTGCCTGGTGCAGAACATATGGCATATGAGTTTGTCCTAGCAGTTGAGAGGAAAGGTGCTTTTAGAATTGCCAGTAAACTTATACATAAATTGCAACCACTGTGTTTCAGTGAATAGATTCAAAATACCTTCCAGTATTGGTCCAGAGTGAAGATTTTATGCAAAAGAGATGACTGAGAAGATATTAATGAAAAAGATATTATTTTACCTTTTTATTTGGTATGGAGTTTGGTTTTCTGCTATGAAGGCATGACGGTAATTTCACTTTCTCTTTTCTTGGCTGTCCTGCACAATTCACCAGTAGACTCTGAACTTTATGTTGAAAGGCTGTCTCTTGTGATCCTGTGGCCTTGTTTAGGTCTGGAATGGAATGATTTCCAAAAGCACAAAAACGTAAGTGTCATAGTTAGCCCAATCCTGAAGTTCTTGTTCAGATAAGATTTTTATTTTCTATGAAAGCATGTGATTAGCACAAGGACAGAAGAACTAGTCTCATTTTTATTTAATAGGTCAAAAAAGGCATTAAGAAACCACCTAATAGTAGCAAGTAATTAAAATCTAACTAAGTAAAATTGTACTGTAATTATTAGAACTAATTAGTTGGAACTAATTAGATCTCAGTGGAAATCCTCAATGAAGATATAAACACCTGTGAAAGTAATTAAAAACAGAAGAGGAGGTACAAAACCCCAGACACTAAAATCAAAATTGAGGACATTACTATTCCAAAGGCATGCCTGCACAGCACAATGATCAGTTGTGCAGAAACACCCAGGCTGGTCAAGCCAAATCTGTACGTCCATTTAATAACAAATTGCAGTCCAGGCCCCAAAGCAGTACAGCTCTGCCAGCACAACCAACTAGGAAGCCCTATCTCTGATCAGGATTTATTGTCTTGAATGCAACAATTCATTTGTATGGATGACCTGTATACTTCTGACTCTGGGGTTAAGATGACCTTAACTATCTTTTAATCTTTGAACTGTGCTCTACTGCATAATGGAGATAGACTGAGCATAGGGATGGCCACAGCAACTTAGATCTAAATATAGCTTCTTTTGCTTGACAGCCTAAGACTCATGTAGTATTTTATTGTAAAGTCTGATGACCTCTGAAGAGAAAACAAAAGACAATTACGGTGGCTGCCTTCTCACCAGATCACTCTAGATCAGTATTTTGTACAGAACAGAACTGGTTTTTCTTAGTTTGGACTGCAGGCACTGTCTAGCTGGAATGCTAAGTCTGGTCAGTTAGTCATTGTGAGGAGGCAAAAATGTTATTTGAGAAAGCATCTTCTCGAGATTCCCCTCTTATTTCCAGGCAACAGAACTGCAGGTGTTAGAGAGGGGCTTCCCATCTACACAGCAAATGGCCCAGAGCTTAAAAAAAAAACAAAAAGAACATCTGGGAAAAAACACAAGCATTTCTTGTTTTGCCCAGAGGTAAGCAACATTTATGCTTTCACATTAGAATTTAGGGTAGTTTTGGCATCTCTCTCTCCACACACATCCTTCCCCTGCCGCCCCCAAGCTGCTGTTCCTTTCGTCACCTACCCTGTGGCTCTGGAAATACAGATTAGTACATCTGCCTTGAGATCTATGGATCATGCATAAATAACAAAGGAAATCTAGCAAGTCTGAAGGCAACAGCTCTTGCGGAGCCCCACTACTAAGAAAGGGAAGTTCTACCAGGACACATGGAAGGGAAAGGAAGGGGAGAAGGGAAGCTCTAACTATGGGATGCAAGAGTAGATTTTCCAAGTATGCACTGCCAAAGCTCAGCTGGTGTGGCATTATGTGACAGCCAAAGGTTAGAGCTCATTGAAGCAGACCGGTGGCTCTCCTGTGGTGATCATCCAAGACTGTCACCACAAGCAAATGCATAAACAGGATGAATGACAGTAGACGTAGCAAGGAAAGCAAAACTGAATGGGGATGTTTAAATGGCAAAGACCATTGTTCTAGACTCTTCTGTTACAGGTCTTAATGAGTAGAAAAAATTGGCTTGTGCAATTTTTTTTTTTTAGTAGGGAAATTATTTCTTGGCTTTGTCTGCAGTTCTGTCATCCCCATGTTATAGCAGTCTCCTAGGGCAAAGGAGGGAATCTCTCCCATTAGTTTTATACCTCTCTCTGTTTCTGCCAGTCTTGCATTCAGATGTATTCTGGATGCTGAACAGAGATAGATGGATTTAAATTGCTATAGTAAATATTTTGTCAAAAGCTATAAGAAGATAGATATTAACCTCCTCTAAACTACATTCTGGAAGGCAGATTTACCTGTTGTGCTGCTGGAACCTTCATTTTCTTTGGAATGAGCCTGCAGCAGAAGGCCAGGTGAAGGTGAGGAATCACTCATGGTACCAAGACATTCAGATCCTAAAGGGAAAGTAATGGAATACTGTGACAAGTGTTTTTCATGATCATCATCATTTTCATAAACACACGAAAAAAAGTCAGGAAGTCTTTGGCACTTTAATTTAGACAATCTTTGAAAGCTGCCTGCATAACCATGACAGGCTAGCTAAATTCGGCATGGGAAATTTTGGTCCACTGGGCAATAGGGATCAAAAATGCTTATCTTGTGATTAGTCATGTCTTGTCCTCTGGCTAACTGAGCAATAAGCCAAAAAGAGCTAACGGACACATAAAGGGCTAGTGGACAATCTAACACAGGTCTTCTGGTGATTGCAATATGGTGATTGCAAAATGAGGAAATAGGGGAATTAGTGGGGGTCTGATAAAGCCCATGGAGGACTGCTTTCATGATAAGATTCTTTGCTGTGCATGACTTTTAATCTCACTATGGGATTTTAGTAACTTGTCAGGGCTGCTTTTCAAACACAACTGAAGTATTACTCTCAATGCTGTAAAACTCAAACCTAAGATGATGACTCTTTCACTGCTTCCTGTCATCCAGTCACTGCTTTCCTCCGATATCCTCCAAACTATCCTTAGTCTGCATGTTTCCTATTCCATATTGCTTTTGCCCCAGTCCCCAAGCTGCCCCTCTTACCACTGAGTTTCAGAATTCCATCTTCCATTTTTTTTTCCTACTGTCATACTAGTATTTTTCTAAACTTGACCTTCTCGGTTGTTGCTTATCCACCCCTAACTATTGTTTATTCCATTTAAGTTTTTCTTGAGTATTTTGTATCCATCCACCCCTCATTCATAGCACAACTCTTCAGCTTTGCATCCGAAGCCTATGCTGCTTCTTTATTCAGTGATGTCTATAAAGGCTCCTTTAACACACTAAATATGTAAGTCTTATAGACCACATTTATATTAGGGGATTAAACAGGAATGTTCCCAGATACTGGAACATGTTAATCTATACTGTTAACTTGTTAGAACACTGGTATGGTAGTGACAGTGCAACTTGGTGTTTTCCCCAAAACCACTCTTTGTTACCCAAGTTTTGGCCGGGGAAAAGTCTGTCTTGTTTTGGGAGACTTAATTTACACAGCCTACTTCATATTGGTGGATCTCAACATCAGTGAATGCTGCTGGGTATGTTTTATGTATCAGAATAGATATAACTATTTCGGTCCAAGAAGTTCATGTATCAAAATGACTGGGAATACATGGGGGTCAGAGAATGTAATCTTAAATTTAACTGCAATATGAAATGAGACAACTGGATAAAAACAATGAAGAAGATACTAAAATGTTGCCAGACAGTAGATTACCTCTACTGGGGTTTTTGATCTTCTCTAGAGAGAAATTCCCTCTTCCTTTTTTTTGAACTGGAGGAAGTTCCATAGACAGTGCTTCCACATCAGGAAACTAGAAAAAAAGTAAGAAAAATGGCTTAGGTCTCCTAAATAAACACTTAGAAAAAACCCAGCAGACATCCACCTCGCTGCCACAAAAAAAAAAAAGGAAAAAAAAAAAGGTGCAAAGGAGACAAATGAGCAGAAATAAAGTGGTAACTATAAAAAAAGATATATGTAAGTATACCTCAGATTCCAAAATAAGTTTTTGAGTATGCTTTATGCACTTACAGTATTTATCAGGTGAGATTACAACAGCAAAGTTCCCAAGGCCACCTTTAACCCAGGAGTGTTAGGCTTACTAATTCCCTTTCTAGTTAGCAGAGAGTGTTTTTTGAGGGGTAAGTGAAAAGACCTGAAGTTCAGCATCTGCTCTGAATCAGACTCTCTCCAGAGATTACATAAGGAACCTACAGAGTTTGTACTCAATAAATATATACCATTTCCAAGATACGTTTCCTTTGACAAGGGCATGTAATTCCCAGTATTAATTCTGCCACGACTGTCCTCTGTAATGGTTTCTTGAGATAAATTGAGGCTGAGAAGCAAACCCACAACTGTCTTTGTGGGACTATGACAGAAACTACCTGGCCTAACACAAACTCATCCAGTTTTCAGCTACATACCTTTTTCAGGAAAAACTCCTTGCCAAATTCTGATGCAAAATATGGAGGAATTATTTTGTTTCTCATTGCCATTAAGGACTTCTTTTCTTCATCAAGTTCTTTCCTAAGTAAGTTTTAACATTGTTAGTAAGGAAAAGAAAGAAAAAAGCATTGTAACTGAGTTCACCCTGCTTTTCTGTATTATGTTTAAAACATTGAGGAATGGAAATGATAAAGGCAAGTGGCATTTTTTTTTTCTGGTTAATTACATTGAGCGATATTCTTGTAACTGAAATTTTCTCAGTGATAGATCAAGAACAAGCTGGTCTGGCATGCACAGACAATCTCCTCCTCAGATATGGAGGATATGATATATGGAGGGTCTGATCAAAATGCATATGGACAGTGGGTTGGCTGCTACCTCCTCAAAGTATGCTCCAGTTCTCTAAATCTTGTACAACATACCTGAGACTGTCACTAGTGTCTTTCCAACCTTCCAACAAACATTCAAATCTGTGAATTGGTATTTCAGATGCATTGCTAAAATTTATTAACACAAAATTAATCTAACTTCCTTATTTTATCACAGAAAAATTTGATGGCTCTTTGGAAACAGAAAAAGCTGTTCAAACTTCTGAAGGTGAGATTCACCAGAGTAAAGACCAGTTATGTTTTCAGCTTGATTTTACACTGGATTTCAGTCCAGTTTTACATGACTATAGTTTCACTGACCTGCAGGATCTAATATCAGCTATGAAATTATCACTCTTAATCATATTGAGAGTTTTGACACTGGCTTTTAAAGCCACAATTGTGCCTGATCTTCTTGGGTGCTGGTTACTGTGATACATATATTTAAAGTCATTCTTTAAATAGTATGCAAAAGAGTGCAAAATGCTATATTAAAAAATAAACCTGAAATTATAAAAGGTTTTTTTTTATCTCTTGCAAGTCAGAAAGTAATTAAGAAGTAGTATGGAAGAGAACTTAGTTTTCAATTGCTATTTAACCTTGCACAAAAATAAGAAACAAAAAGCAAGTTTCTGATCATAATAGTTCATCACCATTTCAAGTTATTCTGTTTAAGAAATAATGAATGACTTAAATAGCTGTTGATATAATTATTTTAATTCCATTGTGAATGAAGGTATGTTACTGATAACTTTCTCTATGTTAATCCTTGTTCACATATCAGGTTTTCTATTTCAACATAAATTAAATGCATATTTTTAATTCCTTGAATTTAAACAGTCCTGCTTGGATTACATTGAGGAATTTGACATTCTGTCAGATTTGCAAAGCCCCTTCCTCTAGAACTGAAAAGAATAATGGTTTTAATGCACAATGCTTAAATGAGACGTTTTTCTGTGTTACTAAAGAATTATATAATGCAGCAATATGTCTCTCCATAGAATAAGAGTCTGTATATTTACTTTCCAAAAAATCTATTTTCCTCTCAATTAATACTGACTTTGAAATTGCTCTTATTTTTTTTCAAATGTTTTTGTGAATCACCATATCTGCAGATGGAAATCCAGTGACTTTCAATTTATACCTGAGCAGAAATTCTCATCAAAATTCATCTAATTGTGAAATGTACATTTTTAGCAATATATGCTGTTTCAAAGCATCTATATAGATTTTTTTTCTTGCAATTAATCAAACTGCTTCACCATTCATCAATGGGAGATAAAATTTTTTTACAAATTGGAGAGCAAGTGAAATCATCAAGGGGAGCAGAATTAAAATTGAGGGTGACCTTAGATACAACTTTCAGTGCTACAAAGATTTTTATGTTTATACACATATACACATTTCCTCCTGTAAAAAAGCACTTTTAATCTGAAGATTATAGCACCTCCCTCAGAACTCCCATGAGAAATACTTCATAAACAGGAAATTGAGATACAGTTAATTCCTGAAGTAGAACTTTACAGGCCTTCCTTTAGTAAGGCATCGATTTTTAAGATGACTCTAATTTTAAGGCTCTTCTTAAAGATAATGAGTTTACCTTGTCCACATGTTTTACCACCTAAAATGTCCTTGAAAATGCAGCTGCATTTCCAAGGTGTAAACCATGAGCATATCCTGCACTTTATAGTACACTCCACAATGAAGTTGGGAGGGAGAGAAGCCTCAACAACCAAGTGAGGAAGCGGTGGGTGTGGTAGGCAAGCAAAGCGCCTGGGGTGATGTGAACAGAAGGGACATCACAATCAACAAAACAGGGCTGAAGTGGGGTCACACCAAACGTATGCATGCAAATAAGGAAATGCCTATGGGATGGCATTATGGGGAAAGCTTTCATATCCTTTCTGGGCCATCAGCATGGCTGGATGCCTCTCAGAAATGCCTGTACACTACTGCAGGCGGCACAAGTAACAAACAGGAGGAATTAGATGTCTGTGTGCACTTAAGGGTCAATGACCTCATTGGTATCATGCAGAAGTGGAAGGATGGCTGATAGATGAACGGAGTGACGTTTGGATGGATACAAGGTCGTCAGGAAGGGCAGGCCAAGAAGGCAAGGAGGGGAAGTTGCCCTGTGTGTAAGAGAGCAGCTGGAAAGCCTGGAGCTCTGCCTGGGGATGGGTGATGAGCCAGCTGAGAGCTTATAGGCTAGGATTAATGGATAACGTTGTGGGTGTCTGCTATAGACCAGCTGATCAGGAAGAAGAGGTAGATGTGGCCTTCAGACAACTGGAAGAAATCTCACATTCATAATACCTGGTCCTCATGGGGGACTTAAGCCACCCCACCCACCACTGGAAAGCGGCTCTGCAGAGAAGGACCTAGGAGTTCTGGTGGACGCCAAATTGAACATGAACCAACACTATGTCCTTGTGACAGGGAAGACCAGCAGAATCCTGGGCTGCATAAGGAAGAGTGTGGTCAGCAGCTGCAGGGAGGCAGGGAGGTGAACCTTCCTCTCTACTCAGCATGGGTGAAACCACATCTGGAGTACTGTGTCTGGTTCTTGGCTCCCTGAATCATGAAAGACACAGACTTCTTACAGAAGCAAGTCCAGAGAAGGGCCACAAAGGTGATTAAGAGCTTAGCGCATCTTTCATATAAGGAGAGGCTGGGAGAGCTGGGACTGTTTTGCCTTGAGAAGCTTTGAAACATCTCAAGCTTCAAAGACATGCATCTGGGTTTCTGTTTGAAAAATCAGATGGGATTTTCAGAATACCTGAACCTTAACCTAAAGCATTAGCATTTGAAACTAGTAATATAAATTACTCTCCGTGCTGGTGGCAGAGTCATAAAACAGAACAAAAGATTTCTGACTTCAGCCTTGTTTTAAATAGTGTAAGTTAACAGCAACACTGCTAAATTTTGAAAAAATGAGAGCTAAACCATCCATTCAGCATTTCTGTTGCAGAAAACACCCCATTGTTTGCTAGCAAACCATTGGACCATTACCCAAGACCTGATGAAATCAGTATCATAAGTCTTTCCAAAACCAGAATTAAGTTAGCTCTTAAAATCATTAACTTTCTGTCCTACTAATGCTATTACCTGTGCTCTTCTAGTCTGCTCTGCCACTTGGACACTGGTGTTGTTACTCCTGGACTGAATGACCAGGGGAGAAAAAAGTAGTGAAAATGAGAAAACTAGCATAATGTTTCATAAGCACAAAAATATTTACAAGATAACCCTGGAAAGAAAATGCTCTTTATGACAGTACATTATATTAACATCTCCTGACTTGGACTTGTATGGTTTGCAGCAAAATTGTTTACCCATATCTGCATTTTGTTATACTATTCAACCAAAGAAACCCTCAAAATCCTTTTCCAACAAAGTTTAAAATATCTTTGAGATAAGGAAAGAGAGGCACAGAGGGGCAAAATAATCATAGGAAAAGCTAGTGAAACATTGCTATATGTATCTAGAGATCTAGCTCCTGGTCCTAAATGACAGTCAGTAAAGTACATTACCTTGCCTGTACGTTTGGTTCGATCCTTTGTGTTATTTACATTTGCATCAGTTCTCACTGGCCTGTCCTACCTGAACCCCTGCTGTTGGTCCTCTCTTTGGGTAGTGATTGTCTTCTCTGTGCAAGACTGGCGAGAAGAAGCCACTGCCTGTTCATACAGCTCAGTTATGTGAGCTGTAAGGTAAAGAGTATTATTGAATGTGCACATTCTGCTAAGCACTGCTAAGCGTTATGAATAAAAAACCATAAAAGGATATATTTTTAATGCATCTTTATGTCACTTGGTGAAAATCTTACTGTGAGGGAAGAGCAGAAAGAACTTCATTCCAAAATCAAGTTCAGAACATTAACAGGTAGGAAATTAATTCAATTCAACATAGAAAGCACCAGAAGCTGATTAAGTTCATACCCCCACCCTGTATTTCCTGAAATATCTTTATGTTCTTTCAAGATACAAATCAAATACATGTGAATACCTGCTGACATTCAGCCACTTTCTGACTGGAGAGAAACATTCCAGGTCTCTATCTCCAGCTGAAGAAAATAATATGGGCTTTCAGGGAGCTTTATTACTTTCAGCTTGCTTAATTGTGGCTGTGAAGCAGCCATAATCAACATTTTAATGGAAGGAACTACTAGTTCAATATGTATAATGGAGAAAAGCCAGTCCTTCCATATTTAAGATTGTGACCAGCTCTGGGGCTTTAATAAAGAGTTTCCCTGTCCTCTGACATCTTTTATAAAATGTGTTGTTTACTTCATGTCTTAAACCTAAACTGTGAGTCCAAAGACATTTCCTTGGTTGAAAACAAATTTCTGTGGCAAAACTGAGCAGATTTGAGTATTTGAGAGATATGACCCTATTTGACTATGACATCTTAGTGTTTCGGGAATTACGTAACTGCAAACTTCAAAAGTCAGGGGGTTTTTGGTCAGCTTTTTCACTATAGAATACACTTTTATTTTTCTGCTTTTTGTATTTTTACCTCTTTTAAAGAGCTTTTCTTTCCCCCTATCTTCTTCATTAATAATATTATGTTAAAATTGCACCTTCATTTAAATCAGGAAACTGTGTAGCAAGCATTTGTTGCAGCAGTTTCCATTTACTTTGCACAGCATGGTTTTTTTAACAAGCAAAAATACTCTTGACAAGGCAGGAAGGGCAAAAAAATAACACTAAATGCTAGCATCACTGTGGGATTGAATACTATGGATTTTTTCTATGGAAAAGGCTTATGGATTTGTAAAAGAAACAAACATCTTAATTTTTATTTGTACATATTGAAAACATCAATAAATGTTAACAAGTATCTTACCAAAACAGAAATTCACAAGGGAAAGCTAATACACTGTTTCATCTTTTCCTTTAGGCAAAGTTAATGTAACCAAAACACATGATTGTTTGAGATCCGATTGTCAAGTGTAATAAATAACCAGGATTTATCTAGCTGCTTTGAAAAACTTGTCTGAAAAGTTGATACTGGCATAAAAGCAACCAAGTACTGTCATAGTTCTTATACCTAAGAAAACTCAATATATGTGGAAATGTGAGTCAAAATGCCAAATACACCTGCTTAAACACAGGAATCAATTTTTAGAGGTATGGAATCATTGATGCTAAGTTCTAATCACCTGTGAAAATCACACAGAAGCATGTCCACAGCTCATAGATGAATTCACCTTTCTCTTTCTTCTTTAAAAATAATACTACAGTACTTCAAAACTTACTATTATATTCTACAATTTTAGAAGACAGATACTCAATTTTTATTACCTCTATCACTCAGATTTTCAGTTGACTTCTCCCAGTTAGGGAAGGACTGCAATGAAGAAGGAATACCTGTGACCATGTGAGAAACAGGCCCCACAACAGCACCCTGTTCAAATGATTTCCATCCTAAAAGAGTGTTACCTTGTTACGTGAGAATGTGACTACAAGAATAGATTTGTAGGTATTTCAGTGTGTTAGAAAACATGAGCTGGTGAAAAAGGAAATGAAGTACAATTTCCCTGGTCTAAACAGGTATTTCTTACCTTCTTGATGACCTGCTTCACAGATGGCTTCATACTGTATATGGTTGCTGTTTATTAAATCAACTAATACAGTTCATATTCAAACTCAAATCCTTCCACAAAGGATTTGAACCAGCTCTAAAACTCATGGTCACAACAAGAAGTCAAAGGGGAAATGTGTTCAGGAATTTGCAGGCTTCATTACTGAGGAGCTCTCTTGTGGCTGGTTTACAGTAAAGTGCTTAAGGGGTAAAAGACTCTAAACGAAGCTGTTTCCTTTATTCTCATGCTGTCCCTGAAGCAGTTCACGAAACCAGAGTTCCTGTGGCCAGGCAGTCTAGGTTGTAACAGAGCTGGGGAACAGTGGAGACTTGAGAGGAGCGTGACACTAATTCCTGAGTCACAGCAGGTCCACAGTGAGACTCTGCTGCTCAGAAAAAGCATTGTCCGATGTGAAATCTGTACCTGGAAATGTGCTCATGGTAGCCGGGACAACCAACAATAATTAGTCACTTAGACAAGTTCATTGGAACCGAGCTCTAGGCTAACCTGCTTTGGTGGGGGAGTTGGACTAGATGATCTCCAGAGGTCCGTTCCAACTCCTACGATTCTGTGAGCATTTGAGATTCAGCATCTGGATCTCATCAAAGCAAATAAATGTCTGGCTAAAGGACAGAGGCAGATGGATCACTTCTCTATGTTCCTCTTTCCAGAAAAGTTGTAAGCTCCTTCCTGGTTTTTTGCTAGATACTTCTTTTCTCTAGTCTCTTTTTAAGACTTGTATATCACTTGAAAGTACTGAGCAAAAAAATACATGTGAAAGTTTGTAATATCAAAAAATAGGCTTTAGTTTCAGCAAATAAAAAGGCTAACTTGGCTAAAAAGCTCAGAAACAAATTCTAGAATTACGGGAGCGGGTTTTTTAAGCTTGTGTGGGAGAAAAAAAAAAAAAAGTAGAGTTACATATCTATCCAGAAGGCTAGGAAAAGGAAATTAACAGCATTTTAAACTTGAAAGATCTCATTCCTAATGTTTTCGCATGTTGAGACGAGGTTTAAAAGGTGGACTCTAAGGCTAAGTCGATGTTCGTTTGCTAGAATATGCTCACTTTTGAAAGCTTGATAGATCATCTGGAAGTCAATATTTAACCTAACATGGCTAGATCTTATTTTTCAAATGCCATATTTTCTAATTCAGATAATTAATATAAATTAATTAATTTAATTTATATTTTAATTTATGTTTGAATTCACTATATGCGTGTTATTTGATTAAATGGAAATAAAAGTATTTCCTAAATGAAACTAGAAAAAAACCCCAGTGTTTAATAACTACTAAAAATCTAGCACGTGAATTCACCTCAAGCAAGGTATCAAATTCAAAGAAAGCTGTAGGAAAGAAATTATTTAAAGAACTGAAATAAAGCAAACTGATCACTCTCTTCATAAGTTGTAAGCAGTGCTTCTCTCATTCATCCTAATTCTTTCCACTTCTGCTGCTTGAACACTGACCTCACTGTTTCCTGACTGCTACAAGTCCCTCTTCCCCTATTCACTCACCTTTCCCATTACCTATTCCCCTCCTTTTTCTTTTAATGCTCTAATTATCTGTTCAAATTAGCAGAGTACATTTTCAAAAAAAATAGAAATGCTGCTCAACAATAATAAAAATATTCCTCCAGATTATCCCAAAAGCAGGGTTTAAACTCTCACTATGGAGGTGGCTGTGGTTGAAATACAAGTCTTCCACCTGCAATGATTACAGACTGGAAATATTTTCATCCTAATGTTGGAGGATATACACATTTCAGTAATTTTGGCCTGTGTGTTTGGGAATGTATCATTCTGTAGAGCCAAACTCTTGAACTGTTTTGAGCATTGCTTCCCCAAAATAGCAGTCATGCCATTCAGTAGCCCAGCTGAATGCTGAGTGTGACTCTGCTTTACCATTAAACTACAGCAGAGCTGGAACTAACATTTGGTATTTTATTAATGGACAACAATGTGTTTTAAGGCTGATGCTTCCAATGCAATACAATGGTTTTGTTAAACATATTAGTAGTTAAAAATTGTATTTTTCTCACCATAACCCGTTCAAGGAGAATGGCAGCATTCCCCTTTTCCTCTTCTGTTCTTGGTTCTTTTACATTCATCTCTTCCAGCTCATCTTCCTGCTTTAAAATGTTGTCTATATATTCCTGGTGGAACAACAAAAAAAACCCAAGAAAGATGCAAATGTTTTCTTTGCAGATGTAGACTTAAGGGTCGCATACTTAGAGAAAAGAATTTGTAGAAGTCATGAACGTTATGTGCTTCTTCTCAATGTCATAAAGGCCCCTTCTGTGAATTGTGTGAATGGGTTATATAGATATCTAAAGGTTTGCATGATAGTTTTTAAAAAACCCAACAGGTCAAAGCGAAGAAGAGTACATGCTAGGAAGGTAGCAGGTGAAAGCTTACCAAGGACTAATCAACTCTGAAGACTAGCAATACTGTTGAATCTGCAAGAACTAATATACTAAGGACATCAAGAGTCTGCTGAATCTCTACCAGGCCACTAGAGGACATTAATATCCACAATGAATGGTGTGACTTGGACCACATCCAACAGCTATCTACCACTAGTGGACATTAATATCCACAATGAACGGTGTGACTTGGACCACATCCAACAGCTATCTGCTATCTAGATGCCCCTGGTGTGTCAGTGTGACCCCCTGCTTCTAAGTAGGCAGGTAGGTTTGGCCTCCCAGCTCTTGCACCAGCCAGGCAAGTACAGGTGAACATGCAAGTGTTTGAGTAAACTAGGTGAGTGACTGTGTTGAGTAAATAGCTGCTATTAATAATAATCAATTCTATTATTAAGATCAGCTTAATGAATAAAAGGTGTTTAACAAACGTTGTTTGTGATCTGTATCTCCTTTCTGTTTGATCTCCTATTAGGGAAAAGGAAATTTACATCACAATTGAAAAACCAGGTTCAGAAAAAAATCTGAAGCTTCATTTTTAGACAGAAGTTTACTTTTGCCAGAATCACACTAAGTGCTACAGAAAAGAACACTTTCCCCACACTTCTTTATGCTTTAGAACATCAGTTGGATGGAAAAAATGGGGCCTTCCAGAAGGTTTTCCACTCTGCTAGAAAGCTACATGCAGTACTGGGCTTTATGAATAGACAGGGTTTGCAGAAGCAATTTGTTTCCAGTTCCAGCTCTTTTTCATTCATTTATCCCCCCTAAATCTTTAAGGAGATGGAGAAAGGAAGAATACCTTTTTCTTTAGATCTTGATTTAGTTCTGGCAAAGTGAATATTTGGCTAAAGATTCAAGATATTTCTTACTGGAAAAAGCCATTAATTAAATATTGATAAAGAAGCAATGAGGATTCTTCCGTTGCGCATTAAAGCAATCATTACAAATGTTTTCTCAGTGCCAATAATTGCAATTCTTCCTTCCCAATGTAACAAACAGCATTCTTCTTTCTCTAAAAGTCAACAACAGATCTGTTCAACGGAGAAATGTACCATGGGATTTTGGTGTGGAACTTTTTTTTTATACCATTGCCTTTGAAAGATCAGTATGCAAATTAAAGAATAATTGTTATACTTTTATAGATTGTAAAAGGGCAAAATTTAATTCTGATAGACTGGCATGTCCCAAGCATGCCTGGACTGAACAGCTATCAATGTTTTTCTGTTGCAAGCATGTCTTCTTTGAAATGTAATGTGGGAAGAAAACCCAACTAACAGGCTACAACATGCTACTACCTTCACAAATTTCACATGTTGTTAACTTTCAAATTCAGTCTGCAATGCCATCATTAGAATATGCTAAATGAATAAATTACAGAACACGTGTATTTTGTTATTCTCTAATTGGGAAGTAATAATAAGTTTTTAACTCTAAAATCTCTTTTAAGAGCATCTTCACAATATGAATTAAATAAATCAATATTTTATACCCAAACTGAGAACTATGAAACTGCTGACAAGGATGAGAACTTTCAGATTCCATCTCAGAACACTTAACACACAAGGTGTAGGTTGCGTCTTGTTACGAACCACTCACTCACAAGGGATGGACACACACATTGTTAGAAGGCTACATAGCTATTAGCTAGACATGGATAGAGTGACAGAACTCAGACTTGTACCTGGAAATGTTCTGTACTGATTTATGAAAACAAACACATAACCAAAACCAGAGTGTGTCTCAGCGACCCGATCACTGAGTTAACTGTAGAATTATGGTGGGTTAGAAATTCTTGTACAACTTTATACATCAAAGTTTTTAAGGCTTTGTGGAGGAAAACGAACTCTAAGCAAAGTAAAAGCAAAGTAATAGATATCAACATTGACAGAAAGGAAACTATTTGTTAGTGTACTGTGATATGTGCTGGACTGTATCCCACACATTTGCACAGAGAAGTAGGTTCCACAAGAGATGAGTGAAAACAGTTGAGCTGCTTCAATACACTTTTCTTAGAGCACCTGCCTATGTATGAAATGCTGATCGTTCTTTGAAAGTAGCAGAATTTTTGTCTCAGGCATATACTGCAAATCCATGTCACCCAATTTGTCTGTTCCCTATTGCTCACTGGCAAAATGAATAAATGTGATGGTACTACCTTGAGGGAAATCTGCAGCTTTTCTCGTAGTTCATCACTGAGTGGCTCATACTGGAATAGCTGACGGATTTGCAGTTTATTAGGACATTTTTGCACAGCTACTGGCAAGCTCGTCTGTTCTTCGGATCCAATGCAGAGACCCCTCCAACCTCGTGTTTTGACTGAGGGACCCATGATCTTCCTCTGAACACAGACAAGAACAAGCAAAAAAAGCAAGAGCCTACTTATATTACTGACTAAATGCAGATATTGCCAACGTGTGTCTCAGCTGAAAAGCACATGCTCTCCTTCTAGCATTACAAATCTAGACAATAAAGTCAGTAGATTCTTGGGCATAATTTATCCAGTCTAAAACTACTTCATCTGGCAAGATGAACTCCCCTTAAAATTGCTATATCACCTTTCTGAGAGTAGAAGAAGCCCAAGGTGACCATATTTTCCCTGACAGCCTGCCCCTTGCTTTGCCTGCTTAATAAACCAGACTTAACAATGTCATATTGTTTAGAACTCCATTTCCTCCCCATGACAAACATCTATTACTTAAGCAGGAAAAGACAGTTTTGAAACAATTATACCTCAAGAGGAGAAAATGTACCCCAGGTCCTTGACTGAAGATTTGGAGGAACAATACTCTCTGGTTCTTTCTTCATTACCCAGGGGGAGGCTTCAGTCAAAGGGCGGAGGATAGTAATACTGAGAACACCTGGTTCAAAGACACATTTTGGTAAGAATCAGTTCAAATCCAAAAGTGATGGACAAGTGTCTCAATCTTCCAGAAAAATATACTTATCTGTGTATAAAACCCCTTATTATCAAGTGGTAAAACTCCATGCAAAAATGTGATACTCGTGGCTTGCTTTGAGTCTTGGGTAACAGGCTCAGTTGTATAGTGTGCGGAGTACCCCAAACAAGGAAGAGCAAACCATTGACCCATGTTTACTGAATACTAATCTCAGAAGTACATCATACTCAACATGCATAAATCTTCACTGTATTTTATACTTTACAATCTGATCACTGGATGGATTCCATTAAAGATGACTTACTATCTTTTTTTATCATCCTGATTAATTTGAATGTTCTTTAAAATAATTCTTCCAACCCAACCCAAAAATCTACTTAATCTACTATTATCTACCCCATAGCTGGCCTTCATATGACCACTGAGGCACTTTGTCACAATGACACAAAATTGTAGATCCTTGGTGTCAAGGCAAATTGAGCCAGTATTGAGAAATGTAGAGCCTGAAGTCTGGAAAAGCATGTGTGCTACTAAATGACTCCTGGCTGTGAGCAGGTTTTCTTGACTGGGATTTTCACTGGGTATGTATCTTCTCTATCTTCCCGATCTTTCCACCCTCCCTATCCTTCTGTCTCTCAGTGCCCTTTCTCTTTTCCTTTTCCCATAGCAGAATTTTTTCATTCAGTTTATACAGTGGGGAACTGGGCATTATTGTGAATAGAAGCAGCATTTGAAAATGTGCAAAACCTGCTAAGAGTAGTAGGTAGGAAAGCTTATGCTTATGATATAAGTCTTTGAGAAGAATGTCTTAGTACTTCACAGCTTGAAGCAAACTATCCTTATCATTCCCCCATATCCAGGGGAACCATGTGTTCTGGTCTTTAAAGATACATTTATTTTTCTTAGGATCTACCTGTTACACCACAGTATATTTTATAGAAACCCAGTATCTTCAACTAACCTTACAATAATAACCAATTGTTTCAGGATGTTACTTGTTGTATTGCTACTACGAGGTGGTTGGTGCCGTATACTATTGGCATCCCCTATTTCAGTCATATTTTTCCAACTTCTTAATAACATATTTATCCTTTCCAACAGCCAGACTAAGGGTCAACATCAGAGCATCATTGTCTTCATTGATAAACAGTTACATGATTAATGAAGACTGTCATACATTTGATGGTCTTTGATGGTAAATACACAGAGAATCTCTGCATTTGGTAATCACTTTTGTTTGCATGAATGAGAGCTGATAAAGATATGCCAGTTGTTTGTTCACTTATCCCTTCACAGTGTCATTCAGTCAATTCGCTGCTTCCCAGAGTTTTCCACAAGCTCCTTCTTCCCCATGCTTCACTGCCACAAGTGTGGGCACCTCTCTATATGGGGAAAAACATTTTCAAATTTCCTGTCCAAATAAGAGTCGAAACTTCTGACTCCGCCTTTGTAATTATTTCTGTTGTTAGTTTGTCAGAAAAGAAATAAAATTTTCCTACCTGGATGTTCTTGTACAGGTTCCTGCAAGACAGCAGCAGTGGGATCACTACAGGCTTCGGCAATATACTCGCGTACATCCCTGCTCCGCAGAAGCTCAGTTCCAGAACCGTCCGCGTAGATGATGAAGAACCTACACAGCCAGCTACACACATCAGATTGTACTGGGCATAGGAGGCAAGGTGTTGTCAGCAGGGGTCTGCAGGGCGGCCTCTGTGAGGAGAGGCCAGGGGCTGCCTTGTGCTGGACACAGAGAGTCCCAGCTGGCTCCAACAGACCCCCTGCAGGACACAGCTGAGTCCCTCAGCCAAGATGGTGGTGCTTCAGGGAAAGTGTGTGTAAGAAAGGGCAAAATGCCACACAGGCAGTGACAAGTGAGGGGAAAAGTACAAGAAACAGCCCTGCAGACACTGAGGTCAGAGAGGGAGGAGGGGGTGGAGGAGCTCCTAGTGCCAGAGCAGAGATTCCCCTGCAGCCTATGGAGAAGACCAGGCCACTGCAGAAACTGCAGCCCGTGGAGAGCCCATGCTAGGCAGGTTTAACCAAAAGGACTGCAGCCCAGGGGAGTACCCTCAATAGAGCAGGGGAAAAGTGTGAAGAGGAAGAAGCAGCAGATAGGAGCTGTTATGGACTGATCGCAATCACCCATCCCCTGTACTGCTGGGGTGGGGAGGAAGTAGAGGGGTCTGGAATGAGGCACTGATGTCAAGCCTGAGAAAAAGAGGGGATTGAGGAAAGTGTTCTAATTTTCATCTTTGTTTCTCAACATCCAACTCTATTTTAATCAGCAATAAATTAAATTAATTTTCCTCAAGTTGAGTCTGTTTTGCCTGTGATGGTAACTGGAAAGTGATCTCCCTGTCTTTATCTTGACACATGACCTTTTGTATCTTATTTTCCCCCCTTGTCCTGTTGAGGAGGTGAAGTGAGAGCGCGGCTGGGTGGGTGTTTGGCAGCTGGCCGAGGTCAACTCACCACACTGATCAAATTCAATGGCTTTCAAATTACATGCTTTTCTAGATGACAAAAATTAAAAAGTACTGTGGTGACATGACAAGAAAATGGAACTCCAAGATGATGACATCAAATGTGCAAATACAGAGTACTGAACAAAGGAAGTGCAAATCTACAAACCCTGTACAAGTATAGTGTAGTGAAGAAAGAAAGGGTAAACCTATGAATCCAGTGCAGTTTACCTGGGGACATGCTCATCATAAGTGACAGGTTTGTTAACTTCTGGGAGTGCTGATGCTGAACTTTTGTCTTCCTTGTCATCGGAGCCAATGCTAGGAACACACACAGATGTGCTGCCATCAGCCATGACCTATAATAGAAATTATATAAAATTATTTCAGTTACATGATACCTTTAAAACAGTATCTTGCTGCTGAACTGTAATATGACCTAGCCTGCTGACAGAAAAAAACAATTCAGGTTGAGCAACCTGGAATTCACAGGAAAAAGAAATGAAGAAGAAAACTGAAAAGACAGTGAAAAAAGCAACCCAAATATTTCTAGAAAGACATGCCATATCATAAATGCTAATATCACATGCTGATATTTAATAAATGTTCAAGGATTGTTAGTTGTTAAGTGGGGCCACCCATGCTTACATTCCATCTTCAACATATATATCTGCAAGCACCAATAGGCAATTTCACACAAAAATACTCGCTGGTCAAGCCAGGTAACTGCATACTCAGACATGTACTGATGTACCTCTGTGAGGTGTATATGTATCTACGTATATACACCTACACACAGAGATACACTTATTTATATATATGTCTATACACTAATATGTTAGTTAATAATTGCACAGTACATACATATACACTCATATACAGGCATATATATAAATATAAATGTGTGTATATATATACATAAAAATGTGTATATACACACAGGTGTGTATATATTCACCTATATATAGGTATATAGGTGAATGTATGTATAAATATATATCCCTATATATACACACATGTTGACACATGAAGAGATATAAATGTTATATATATATAGATGCATTACGATATTTAGCTATCTACCCATACATAACTGGTGCATACATGTATGTATAAATATATACATATACATACAAATATCCATATATGAAGAGATATGGATAGATATAGACACAGATTATATATTTATATCTATCTACCTATATATACCTATAGATATATATGTATATATGTATAGAGGGGTCCCTTTTTAGGCATTTATTCACTGTAAAAATAAAGTCTCAAGATAATCTTACGATAATATTAAGTGAATTTCTACAGTACTTCCTTCTAGTGATTATTGACTTATGTACCATTAACTTATGCACACAAGGTATAATAACGCTTCTAATTCTTAGTATAGTCTGTTGAAGAACATATGCCTTTGGAAGATACAGTTTAAACCACAGTGATTCAAAAGGCGGTCCATGAACTGAATCTGACACACCCAGCCAATGCCCATTTCACTGTAGTCTCAGGCGTGACTTGGACAGAAGAAGAACCAACCCTATTATACTTCTATGTGGTTGCCACCCCTACTAACCATTAGTCCCACCTTTCTTACTACACCCCTCCATATCCCCTGTGATCACTGCTCCCATACCTTCAACTGCCCCACAGCCTCCTCAACTTCCTTCCTCTAATCCCTAAGTATCAGCTGAGAAAAAGGATGTGCTGATGCTGATGCCAAGCAACTTCTGTGCTGCTTTGAACTGCACTGATTTTGTAGGAACTTGGTATGTTTGAAATTTCTACCCCTCTGTTGATTAGTTCAAAATTTGTTAGGGAGAGATTGACAGATAGCATAGATTTATATAAGCACTGTATCTTCAGCCTCGGAATATTATAATGCCTATGTACAGCTGAACCTCAGTGCTGTTTCACAGGAATCTGGGAAAACGGCAATGACTACAATTGCAACAATAGAAAATATACTCTGAGAATGTCACATTTAGAATCTCTAATTAGAACCTTTAATTAGAAAATGGTATGTAGGTCACAGACACTCAGATGATGTTTCCTGAACTCAAAACTAAGTACTAACCTAGCTCAAATTATCTCTTAGGTGTGAAAGGATCACAGCACAATCGGTATGACTTTAAAGACCGAATCATTCCTTTTACAACAATATTTGCCTTACCAGACACGATTAGTGCATTTCTGTGGTCCTTCTGAAAAGCCAATACCCTTTCTCATTTTTAATGCTCATTTGCAGAGATGATTCTTTGATATAAGACAAGTCCCACTAATTAAGGTAACTTTACAGGTGAGGTAAACTGTAAACCATGTGCTTTATTTCAGTCTCCCTAAAAAGGGAGAAAAATCAAAAAAGGGAAACCCATAACACCCTCAAGAACATTTCAGAGACCTGATTCAGGAGCTGTTCCTTCCAGCTAGCTAGGCTACTTTAAGAAAAACTAGTACAAGGCTACAAGCTGACTTTGAGAGATGTTTATAAGATAAAATTACTTAAAATGCAGAAACTTACCTTGAAAAGATTTCCTTCAGGATCCACCATCTCACAAATAGTGCTGGAAGTGTGTTTCATAATGTATCTCCCTGCTTCTTTCTCTTCTTTCTTGCTGATGAAATTGTAAACTTCATGGGTATAAACTGCTGAGCAATCTTCATCAATGAAAAGAGAGCCTGTCTTGATGGGTAAAACCTATTATAGTAAGAAGGGAAGAGGTTCAGTCCTGAAAGGTGCAGTCTTCAGTTTAGAGGTATCACGAAAATGAAGAACAGATGCAAATCAAGAGGAGAGAGCTCTCAGGCCTTTACTACTGAATCATCCAGTTCTGAGGGACTAGAGGGAGAGAAAGAAGGAAGATGAGGTCTAGGAGTTAGGCTGATGTTAGTCTCTGTAATGTTTTCTTTAACTTCAGGAAATTTAAGCTTGTGATTTAAATAAGCTATACAGCTCTGTGGAAGTATCATAGAATCATAGATTATCTCAAGTTGGAAGGGACCCTTAACAAAGATCAAGTCCCACTCCCTGCTCCTCGCAGGACTACCTAAAAATAAACCATACGACTAAAAGCATCATCCAGATGCTCCTTGAACTCTGACAGATTTGGTGTCATGACCACTTCCCTGGGGACCCTGTTCTAGTGACTGACCACCCTCCCAGTGAAGAACCTTTTCCTACTGTCTAATCTGAACTTCCCCTGATGCAGCTTCATTCCATTTCCTCGTGTCCTGTCGCTGGTCACCAGAAAGAGGAGGTCCGTGCCTTGCCCTCTGCTGCCCCCCTTGAGGAAGTTGTAGACTGTGATGAGATCACCCCTCAGCCTTCTCCAAGCTGAACAAGCCAAGTGACCTCAGCCGCTTCTCGTAAGTCTCGCCCTTGAGACCTTTCACCATCTTGGTTGCCATCCTCTGGACACACTCTTAATAACTCGATGTCCTTCTTATACTGAGGTGCCCAAAACCGCACACAGTACTTGAGGTGGGCCTGCACCACGGCAGTGTAGAGTGGGACGATCACCTCCCTCGACCAGCTAGCTATGCTGTGCTTGATGCACCCCAGGACATGGTTGGCTCTTTTTGCTGCCAGGGCACACCCTTGACTCATATTCAACTTGCCATCCACCCAAACCCTTACATCTCTTTCCAAGGGGCTGTTCTCCAGCCTCTTGTCCCCCAGTTTGTATGTATAACCAGGATTACCCCATCCCAAGTGGAGAATCTGGCACTTGCTCTTGTTAAACTTCATACAGTTGGTGATTGCTCAGCAATCTAGTCTATCCAGATCTCTCTGTAAGGCCTCTCTACCTTCAAGGGAGTCCACAGCTCATCCTAGTTTAGTATTGTTGTCAAACTTACTTAATGTACATTTGATTCCTGCATCCAGACAATTTATAAAAACATTAAAGAGCACTGGCCCTATAATTGAACCCTGTGAAACCCCACTGGTGACTGGCCACCAGCCTGGCGTAACTCCATTCACTATAACTCTTTGAATCCAACTCATCAGCCAATTGCTCACCCAATGTATTATGGACTGGCCTAGCCACGTGCTGGACATTTTGTCCAGAAGGATACTGTGGGAGACACTATAAAAATCTTTGCCAAAATAAAAACCCCGACCACCTACTGGCTTCCCTTGGTCAACTAGATGGGTGACACTGTCATAGAAGGAAATTTAGTTAAGCAGGACTTTCCCCTTGTGAGCCCATCCTGGCTATGACCAATGACTCTGTTGTCATAGAATGGTTTGGGTTGGGAGGGACCTTAAAGATACTCTAGTTCCAACCCTCCTGCCATGGGCAGGGACACATTCCAGTAGATCAGGTTGCTCAAAGCCCCATCCAACCTGGCCTTGAACACTGCCAGGGAGGGGTGTTCTGGTTTGAGCTAAAACAGTACTCCAGGTGGGGTCTCACAAGAGTGGAGTAGAGGGCGTGAATCACCTCCCTTGACCTGCTGGCCACCCTTCTTTTGATGCAGCCCAGGTTGCAACTGGCTTTCTGGGCTGTGAGTGCACGTTGCTGGCTCATATTCAGTTTTTCATCCACCAACACCCCCAAGTCCTTTTCTGCAGGGATGCTCTCGACCCACTCATCCCCCAGCCTGGATTTGTGTTTGGGATTGCACCAACCCAGGTGCAGGACCTTGCAACTTGGCCTTGTTGAACTTCACGAGGTTTGCACGGGCCCACCTCTCCAGCCTGTCAAGGTCCCTCTGGATGGCATCCCTTCCCTCCAGTGTGTTGACCACATCACACAGCTTGGTGTCATTGGCAAACTTGCTGAGGGTGCACTCAATCCCACCATCCATGTTGCCAACAAAGATGTTAAACAGCACCAGTTCCAATACCGACCCCTGAGGAACAACACTCATCACTGGTCTCTCCTTGGATATTGAGCTGTTGATGGCAACTCTTTTGAGTGCAACCATCGAGCCAATTCCTTATCCATCAAGTTGTCCATCTGTCAAATCCATGTCTCTCCAATTTAGAGACAACGATGCCGTGCGGGACAGTGTCAAATGCTTTGCACAAGTCCAGGTAGATGATGCCAGTTGCTCTTCCCTTATTCACCAACACTGTAACCCTGTTGTAGAAGGCCACCAAACTTGTCAGGCAAAACACCTGTCTCTCAAGTGTTTTTCAGTAACTCCCAGAATAACCTTCTCCATAATTTTCCCAGGCACTGAAGTGAGACGGACAGGCTTGTAATAACCAGGGTGTTCCTTCTTACCCTTCTTGAAAACTGGGACATTTGCCAGCTTCCAGCCAACTGGGACCTCTAATGGCTAAATATCATCAGAGTATAAGAGAGATGGAATCACAGGATTTGTGAAGGCTATAGAGAATGGAGATAAGATAGTCAAGGTGAGAGACACTGATGGCAGGGAACTTGGAACACAAAGATACATTTCACTATCACAAACTAAAAATAACTCCCACCTGATACGTTCCCTGTGGCTTTGCTATAATAGATGTCCCATCTCCAAACGTGGTACGACAGGTACCGTCCTCACAATTTGTTATAACAGTAGCAAACTCAGGATTCTCTACTTGCATACATTTCACCTTCCTTGTGTTGGCTTCCGAGCGTTCATCTAAGAATTAATACAGAACAACTAGACAGGAGCACATGAACCATGGAGAAATCTTGGGATTCAATTTGCTTTTTCTCTCATAAGGCTGGACCTTTATCTCCTCAGTAAAAGACTCTCAGCCTTCACAAAACTATGTATTAAAGGATGTTATGTTAGTTAAACAATATGCAACCTTCAAATTTTTGGACTGTGTACCAAATATAGGAAAATCCAACAGCAAAAAATGTCTGTAACCATCTGTGTCTAGTGTGTTCAGGACAGTACTCTCAAATTTATCAAGTACAGTACTAACTGTAATGATCTGGATATTTGTAACATACAAGTTGGACCACTGAAATTTTTTATGCCTGTGATACAAGCTCTAAGATGTGAAGAAATTCCTTTTCAGCAGCAGAAGTCAGGGAAAACAGATCAAACTGGTATGTTAATCTGGTCATTGCCTTCCCATTGAATAGACAGACCAGTTCAAGGTCATTGTTTTGACTTTTAAAATCCCCCAGGGAGGTGCTCCACAACCAGAACTTTCTACTGTGTTTGAACACAACAGTCCTGACACCCACACAGCAAATACACACTTTATGTTAATTACAGAACTTATCCAGCAACTGAACTATATAGACTATATCACCAGCCAGAAGAAACACAGATGACCATTAGCCCCACTTGCTTCAGGCAAAACTTCTACTAGGTTTGGCATTTTCCATGGCCATATTTGATCAAATTTTGAATACCTCTGAGGCTGGTAAGTCCATGGCCTCTCTGGGGAATATGAGGATGCCCCAGTCCCTATACACCTATTCAGTTAAGTCTCAAATCAGCTTGCTTGTGTTATCTGGGCAGGTGTAGAGTGGGCAATAAACACATTAGAACTCAGGCACTGTGGTTTCACAGTGAAGCTAGGTCATGTAAGTATATACATGGAAAGAAGGAAATTTACTTGTTTGCTACAATGTGATTTTTGCACTGAATACTGATAAAAAAGGACCAAGCAGACAAACTAAGCCTAGACTGCACTGCCGGATTTGTTATCTAGGCTATTGGTATGAGCCTCTTTTAGTATATTTTGACAATTATCTGCTTCACAAGATACAGCAGAGATAAGTGCTCCCATTTTGATTTTACCTGTTTCTTCACTATCCTCTGGTACAAAAAGTTCTTCACAGTTTTGATAAAAAGTCGTGATCCTAGTACCATCAGCATGATCTACTACTCTGCTGCCATCCAGCTTCTCAACAATTATCACTTCATCATCTCGTACTGTCATAACCTGAAAGAATGAAGGAATACTCATTTAGATTAGCTCTGTGATACTTGTAAAAGCAACAACAGTAAAAAACAAGGCATTATGTACTGAAAATCTGATGAAGCTAGACTACTGCAACTTTATCTGCTTCAGAGACTGGGGACTCATTTTCGTCAACATCTAAAGCTTTTGTACTAGTAACAGTGTAATATAATGTGTAGGATATATGTTCAAAGAAGAAATCCTACAACTTATATGATGGCAGCCCTGTCTTTTAGCCTAGTAGACAGTGCTATAATAACACAAAAAAAAGTAATACCGTTCCATCAGCTGGGTCAGTTGCCTGGTAGATTAAGAGTGGCTTCAGATCCATTCTCTTTGTTCCCTCAGTGCCCACTTGAACGCCTGATGGAGTTGTTGTTATCCAGGTTCCTGCCTGGTTCTCCTTACGTTGCTCAGAATTAACCAGATCCTGAGCAGTATTTTCAAACAATTCATCCTTGGTTGGGTGTGTTATAGTATTTCTGTCACTGCCTTTTCCTGCAGAAACAAAAATTTCTGTATCAGACTTGATATACTCTGAGGCAAAAGACAAAATCAATAAAGTGTAGAGTTCCTGTGAGTGTTGGTTTCAACAGAATTGAAAGAAAAACTATTTATCAGGCTGGAAGGAAATGACAAGTCCTGTTACTCAAAGGTGTGCCATTGAATTAACTTAATTTAATGTGTTTGTTAATGACACAGAAAAAGTAAACAGCATGCTAATGATACCTGTTTATGATGTAACTTTGGAAGGGACTATCAATACAGAGGAAAATATGAATGGCTTACAGAAAAAAACTGTCCCATGAGCTTGAAGATTAAAGTAATAGGAATTTGATACATACAGGTTATTAGAATGAAATCTAATGTGAAAAGGAATAAAAATAATTTCTGCTTCAGACAAGTTTGTAACAGTAGAAGAAACAAAAGACCTGGAGGTACTCTCCATACAGAATGACTAAAAATTATCAGTGTGAGAATATGGTGACAAAAAAGGCAAACACAATCTTACGGTGCATCAGAACAAAAGGGATGGAGACTCCATTGTGAAAGGGAATTGGAGAGATCTTATTAAGAATGTGATACAGAACCCTGGTCTCCCATATTCTAGAAATGGAACTTAGACTAAGTGTACGAAAAAGACAACAGCATGGACCAGAGAGGGGACTAAAAGGTTTACAGCATATATACCTGTGGAGTAATTACTGGGGGACTTATTGAAGTACCTTCCCCTATACAGCAATGAGGGAATTTCCAGGGTGGAATGCAACTAATATGCAAAAAATCTGTTCCACAGTAATTCCCTAGGCAACATAAACTGCAACCTTAGATGTTGGCAACACCAGGGGAGATTGGTGTGCTGACTCTTAAGAGAAAAGAGGATGGAGTGAAGACAACGTGGCCAGGTTCTGTGATACCATTGCTGAGATGGGAACTTGATGATACTATGGAACTGATAAACTGTATAGTTGCTACCCTAGGCCAACAGTCTGTCATCTTTTTGACAAACACATGTCCTGAAGTGAACTTAGCTTATTATAATCTCATTATAATACCAAAACACACCTCCATCCCAAAAGCTACCTGCCTCCCAGGTGCGACCACCCCTCACTGAGCCTGCATTCTGAATTTTTCTAGTCTATACTTTTAAAAGCAAAATGAGGAAATTTTACACCAATTATAACAAAGGTATGTATGAGTCACTCAAGCTCCACGTGAAAAGTAAAAAATAGTATAAAATAGCTTAACAGAGAAAGATGTTAGGAAAGATACCATTGATGACAAGTCATGGACCATCTTAGACTTTTGGGATCAGTTGATAGGCTGAGCCTCCCTTCCCCCCCCCCATAGGGACACCTTTGGGTAAGATTTGAACACTTGGTTACACCAAATGCACCCTGGGAAACTTGGAAATCTCTATGGAGTTGCTTTTATAACTTAATGTGTTTTACAGCCAGGTTGTATTATTCTCATTTGAAATTTGCATGTGCTTTGCAGACAGTGAATTTATCACTGGCAATCCAAAGAACTTGTGTATCTGTTGCTGCTCCAATAAACTACACTGTTATCAATCTAGCCGTGTGAGCTTTCCTACATGTGGCTGTGCTAGTTTCATCGAATGCCACTAGACTGAAGGTGCAGTGACTCCATAATCGTAACAGTTCAATTATTAGTCTAGCTGTGTGAGCTCTTTTGAACGCAACCACACTCCTACATGGGGTCATACTAGTTTCGTTGAGCGCTGCTAGACATCGGACGCAACTGAACTCGCAGAGCCAAACTGGGCATCACTCAATCTACGCCCAGACACCCCCAGCTGCTCCGATATCTGAGGACAAGCCGGAATGCAAGAGGGTTTATTTTCTGCCAAATTCCTTTGCCCTTTAAAGCAACAACATTCCAGAAAAAAAAAAAAAAAAAAGCTAAAAAGAGAAAACACTATTCAGTTAAATTTGTCAAGACTAAGCAGTGGAGAGAAAAGGTGGGGGGAAAAATCTGATCATAAATAAAGGATAAGGAATAAAGGATATACACTGGTCACAGATACTGAGACTGAAAATAGAAGATGGTTTGTCAGAGAAGTTCTCAAACATCCTTCCAGTTACGCTAAGAATATCCTAAGAACAAGGATGCACTTGATGAATCAGGAAGCCTCTTTTTGAGGGACCTTTCTCTTTGGCAGCAATTTTTATTCATATACTTCCAATAAATTATAAGCTAATATTATCACAGGTCATCATTATTCTGTGCACTAAGTAGCACTGACGGTGATCTCAGACTACACTCTGAGGTATGAAGTAAACTTTTATTCGGTTCTTTCTCAGCCAAACAAAATAAGAAAAGAATGGTTACGTTAGCACAGACGGCAAGTCCATGCAACCAATTGACAAAGATCAATAGTAGGTGCCTTGGAATACATATAATGAGAAAGAAAAATATAGCAAGTCCTCTGCTAGAGAAGTGTTTCTCAATACCAAGACTAAAAACTGTGTAACACGTAAGTAAGGATTTGACACTACTGTAGTTACAAGGATTTCTTTTTAAAGACTTTATGTATAATCACTCTGCTACCAATATAGTTCTTACACACCCTTTTACTTATTAGAATCCTAGCATGTTAGAAGAAAAAGAAATCCAGAGTAGGAGAGAAATTATTTACTCTAAAGGTAACAAATTAGCAGCAGCAAATGTGTAGCAGCTGAGTACAGACAAAATTGCATTTTCACACTGGAGAATTTTCAGACTAAACAAATATGCCTGTTATTAAGTATCATCAGCACTGCTAACTTTAAATCTGTCCAAAACACCAGAAATGTTACCTTTTTTAGTGCTGGTCTCAGGTAAAGGCTCCAATTCTGCTAATTGTTGTATATTATCTGGAATTGTAGATGGTGGTAGGACAGGGCCAGAATCAGGACTCCTACTCACTGTGCCATCCGCAAACAGAATCTACAGTAATCAAGGACATACTAGAGGCTAAAATCACTTCAAACACCAATAGAAAGTCTCAAAAGAACGTGTTGCAAATGCAATAGTCACTAGAATGCTATGGGTGACGAAGGGGAAAAAAGTAAAACCTCTCAGAATGAATACAAGAAATAAAGAAGCTATCTCAAAAAGAATTAATAGAATAGAATAGCATATTTCAGTTGGAAGGGACCTACAATGATCATCTAGTCCAACTGTCTGACCAATTCAGGGCTGGCCAGAAGTGTTAAGGGCATTGTCCAAATGCCTCTTAAACACTGACAGGCTT